CCAAGAGGCCTGTGCGTGTGCGCCTGTGTGCTGCCGCTGTCATCACAGATGAACCCCAGCTGTCACTCCAGTGCTCCGCGCCGGCTCCGCACACGCGCTCTCCTCCCTCTCCCTGCTTCCCCCTCGCCGTCTCCCTCGTCCCTCCTTCCCTCCTCAGTTTGCTGTTGACCCGGCAGCCCTGTGCCCTGGCAGCGGGAACATCTCTCCGGGCTGCGTGCTGCGTGCCAGGTCGCTGCTCCCAGTGGGTCGGCGCCCACCGCTCTGCGTGGCCGGGGTTTGGATTTCTCCAAGAATCCCAGGAGGTGTCCCTGGAGAGGTTAGAGCTACCTGACTCCAGGAGCTCCCAGCCAGAGTGGAGAAAGGTGAGTGCTCAGCGGCTGGAGGGAGGGGAGGGCGGGCTGGGGGTGGTGCTGAGGCAGGGGATCTGGGGCCATCCCAGTGCGCTGCCAGAGCGGTGGTGGCTCCCTGCCTGGGGCGCTCGCTGGCGCTCAGGAGGCCACCCAGGACCAGATGCCCTTGCGTCCCAAAGGTACAGGACATGGGACACTGACCCCACAGTGCTTGGGACACAGCTGTGGGCTCTACCTTGGAGGGGGCGGGGAGGAGGCAACCTAGGGTGGCACCGAGGCTGGCCCTGCAGCTCGGGGAGGAGCAGCTGCATGCCCGGGTGCTGCCTGCAGGCCCTGCTCAGCGGACAACCTAGGAACTCGGTGCTGGGGAAGGAGTGGGAAGGGCTGGGGTACTGGGGGTAAGGCTGCTGCAGCAGGAGACTGGGAGGGGTGGCAGGTGAGGACCTTGCAAGGGAGTAGACCAGGGGTGCGGGCCTTCACAGGCTGCCCTGGGGCTGTCCTTGGGCAAGGGTGCAGAGGACCCCTCCTGAGCCTCCTGGGCAGGGGCGTGGCTGGCAGGGCCCAGGGAGTCCTGCAGCTTTTCCTTGTGAGGAGCCCCAGGCCCTGCTTCTGCCTGAGGGCAGGACGGGGAGCCAGGCTCAGGAGCCTCTGGAGTGCCTGTAGCTCACCCAGCCTTGTCCACAATGGGCCAGGACACCTCGGTGGGGATGGCCAGCTCAGCCTGGGGGAGGGTGGCCCACAGCCAGGCCACACCAACCTGGCTTCCCGACCTCAGGGGGAAGGACACCGGAGTTGGAGCAGGACAGTGACACCCAATGCCCCCAGGCCCAACTGCCAACGCTGGAGAGAGGGGCAACCTGACCGGGACTCTGAAGTTCAAGTTCATGTCCCCTTCCTGGAGGGCAGGCTGGGTGCCAGGTGCTGATGCACCTCTGTCCCTTGCTGGGTACTTCTGGGGGGGAGTGGTGGGGCCTGGCTGTCAGGGCTTGTTGGGTTCTCCTCCTGTGACTCGGATTGACACCCCTGCAGCTTCCACACTCCCTCAGTGGGGGAGGGGAGCCGACACGTGGAACTAGGCAGGGAGTCCAGCTGGTGGGGAACCCAGTGGCAGCCTCCTTGTGAGAAGAGCCCAGCTCTCCCACCCCTCCTCCCCACCATGCTGCCAAAAGAGGGAGCCCAGGAAAGCCAGGCTGGGGGCGGCAGGAGACAGAGGGAGGCTTCTTAGGCAACAGATCTGGCGTCTTCGGGTTTGGCCGGGAGCCGTTGGGGCTGAGATGAGCAAACCTGTTCCCATTTCCAGGCGCCCAGCCAGGGGCCCATGGGGCTGCTTGGTCTGAGTGGGCAGCAAGGGAGAGGGTGTCTACGCCATGGTTGGGGTGTCTGGGCGCTCGGCGGGCGGAGGGGGCATCAGGAGGGAGGCAGCTTCCCACTCCCTGCCCTCAGCTGGGCCTCCGCCTGGGCCTGCCTCTGTGCAGCCCAGCTGGACGGCTGTGCTCAGTCACCTCGGCAGCAGCTCCCGCAGGAGCACCGGGCTGCTGCGCTCCCAGCAGGTCTGCTTGGGAGTGGGAATGTTTGACAAGGAAATGAGGGTGCAGGAAGCGGAGAGTGAGAATGGGGCCTGTGTCTTAAAATGAACTAGGAGGGCGTATGTCTGTTCCAAGCACAAATTTAGGGATTGTTAAAGACCTGCTTCCTTGCCGTCTGGGCAGTGTGCTATGGGGGTGACAAGCAGGGACGAGACGGAGGATGATTCCTAGGAGTGGCTGGGGGCCAGACAAGCAGCTGCAGGTGGACGGACCAGCCCAGACAGCAGGTGCAGCCTCGTCGCTGACTGGCCACATGGAGTCCGGGGCCCCTCCCCGGGGCTCAGCCCACCCACCTGCCGCCACGCTGGGCTCAGCCCTGGCTCTGCCTCTCACCAGCCCAGAACCTTCTCCCCTCTGCAGAGTGAAGGGGAGCTCCTGAGTTCTGAGCCTTCATGCCGAGGGGTACAGAGTGTGTCCTCAGCTGGGGCCCTGACCACAGCAGATGGCAGGGGAGGGAGTGAGCTCAGGGCTGGTGTGAGGGCCCAGGGGCCAGGGGGTGGCACTGATTGGCAGTGTGGCCTGGACACCTGACTTGGAGGGGCAGGTGTGACAGACAAGCGCTGGAGGACGAGCGTGGGCCCCAGGCCTGTGGTGTGGGACTGCTGGCAGCTGCTCCCCAGGCCGTGGCTGTGCTCTGAGGGAAGCGCCCCCCACCCCAGTCTCCAGGGGACTCTGTACCCACTCAGTTCAGCAAGAGCACGTGAGCCTTCTGTTCCATCACTCCCTCCCCCAGCCCGGCTTCCCCGGAGCTCCCAGCCTGCCCCCGCTCCCCTCAGCACACAACCCCTGCTAGCGCACCCCCTGCCCCCACGAGGTCTTGGCTCCCAGGACTGTCACCATTGCTTCTGTGATGCTCTTGTAAAGAGGGGAGGTTATGTCTCAGCCCAGCAAGTTACAAGCTTGTCGCTCGTCTATGGGGACACTCCAGAAGTGCGGCGACACCCGCGTATGTTGTAAAGCGCCCTGCAGGGGGGGCGTGCCCCCAGTCCCTGGCTTTGCCATCCTCTGCCTGGGACCCCCACATGGGAGCAGGCAGGCAGCTGGGTTTACCTTCGTTGCCCGCCATGCTCTTCCCTTTGCCTAATGTCAGGCAAGTTGCTGTGCCTGTTTCCCCATGTGCGACGCACTGAGCTCAGGCTGCAGACCCCGCACAGACATGGCGGCTGGGGCTGCTGTTTTCCCTCACGAGGTCTTGAAGGAGACGCCCCAGTCCATGTCCCTGCCCTGCCGGGTTCCGGGGGCTGCTCAGCAGTCCTCAGGGCTCGCCAAGGTCTGTGCTGTTCCTTGGAAACTGCCTGGCCTAGGGACCTTCCAGCGGGGCTTCCGGGTGGCTTTTGCCCCTTCTGGAGGCACCCAGACTGGATGTGTACACTCACCAAAGGCAGAGGGGGGAAGCGCCCTCCGTAGGGCACGGTCACGCCGCAGTCCCTCCGCCACCTCTCTATCCTGTCACGACTGGGGGTGCACATGCACCCTTCGTTTTTCAAGCCACTAGGCTGGGATTCAAACTGCGGTCAACCCTGTGGGATTCTGTTTCCTTTAACCCCTAGCTGCGAGGCTAGCCCGGTACATCTCCATCATGAATATGCACACAGATCGCCTGGAGCTCATCTAAAACAGGCTTCAACTCGGCAGGTTTGGGTGGGACCTGACCTCCACGGTTCCGTGGCCCCAGGCAGGATCAGCCTGCTGCTCCACAGATGCAGTAGCAAGGGCCGTTCTCAGGGACGCCCACAAGGCTGCTCTCAGCTCCACACCCCTGCCCTCCAGTCCGGGTTCTTTCAGCAGAGCCCCCTGTACCCTGGCCCCTTCTCTCTGGTCTCTGTCTCTAGAACTGAAGTAAAGCCCAGGCCCGGATTGGGAACGGGTCCAGCAGCCAGAGCGGCTGTGGGGCTTGGACACCGGAGTGCTTCTGTCTGTGCCCAGTCTGCACCCCGGGAGGGACTTCCCTCCCAGACTGTGTTAATTTATGTCAGCAGCCGGCCAGCGCCTGCCACCACAGCTGCCTCCCAGCCTCCCGATGTAGGTCACCCCTTCCTCAGGAGCTCAGTTCCGCGGGGCGCCGGGAGGGGTCCTTCGGTTGGCCATGGGTTGGAAGGCAGAGGGCCAGCGGCTGGGCAGGGCGGCTCCAGCCCACATCTCCCTCGGGGTCCCTGCACGGCCCCGTGTTTGGGGTTGTGGCCTGCTGGGTGCACTCGCTCTTCTCCCCCGTGGGACAGTGTCGCACCGACACCCAGCAGGCAGCCCAGGGGTCATGGCCCAGAGCGCCAGGCTGTATCCTCACAGGCCCAGCCTTGCTTCCATTCCCTTGCTCTGGGGTACAGGGGTCCACAGTGTCTTGCCACCGCAGGCAGTGAGGTCCGACTTGTGCTCTGTACAGGTGCCAGCCCCTGAGTGGGGATGGGCGGCAGGGCCTGCCCTTGAGGCCACCTTCTCCTGGGATGGCTGTTTGCTGGTCAGCTCCTGGCCTCACTGGTTAGGGTGACACTGAGGGGTGGGGGACTCAGGTGGAGGTAGGGCCTGACTCGAGTGGGAGAGTTTCTCCACCCCGTCGCCCTGCAGGAAGCCAGGGAGTGGGAGAAGTCTGGGCTGGGCCTTGGGCCCCCGGGTGGGCCCAGATCGGTAACGACCACCTTTGGTTAGGACTGCCCGGCAGGGTTCTCTGTAGGCTTCCCTCATAGGCGAGTGGGGTCCCTGCACACCGGCACTGGGAGCTTTCGGGAACTTGGAGTGCTGGCACCCGCGCAGTGCTGGAGAGCTGCTGGCGAGGTGCGTGTGACTGCGTGTACGTGCGTGTGACTACGTGTACCTGCGTGTGTGTGAGCACACCCCTAACAGCTCGCCGTGGGTGCGTGTATAGCACGTGCGTGCACGGAGCTCCAAGCACGTGTCTGGGCGGCCCGTGCGCACCTCTGTGCAGACAGAAACACCTCCCGCAAAGGCGGCTGCTGCTGGCAGCTGCCAGGGAGCGGATGGGCGGCCTGGCTCAGAAGCCAGCAGTCCAGTCCCTGACTTCCCATGTGGCCTCGGGCAGGTTGGCCATCTCTGTGTCTTGGGTGGCCGTCACTTCATAGGGACTGCGAGCTCCTGACTACGAGGGACGGTTCTCCAGTCCGGGCTGGCGGGCTGCGGGGAGAAGCTGCCGCTGTCTGCGAGGCAGGCCTGGGGCAGAGCACACCCAGCACCGCGGTCCACAGACGGGGGCAGCTCAGGCCTGCGTGGGAGGTGGACCCCAGGCAGAGACGCCTGGCCAGCTGCTGACCCCTCCCTGTGGGAGCCGATGTGCCCTCCCCCAGTCACGGGCTCACAGCTAGAAGCACTCACCTAGATTATCCTTCTCCGAATCCAATTGATCCACAAGGACATTTCCCTGGCTAAGCCGTGTGGTTATCTCTTAGAGTTTAAGCAGTTTGTTTAAAGAGTAGCAAGGTTGGGATTTGAACCTAGAGCCCTCCCCACCCACCTCCAGTCTGAGCCAGGAGCCTACAGGTTGACCTGAGGGCACAGTGTGTGCATGACTACCCCCAAGTCCACGGGCCTGGATCCACGCGAAGGGCAGAGTGGGCCCGCAGCTATCCAAGCCCACACCCGTGCCGGCTGTGGGTGGAGGGTGGGGAGGGGAGCTCAGACAGGGCTGCTTCCTGCCAGCCCGCTGCCCTTGCCAGGAGCTATGCCGCCTTCAGGGCTGCAGCTTTTGCCAGGGCCTGGGGCCCCAGAGGTGGACAGGGTGGAGGCAGGAGGCCTGAGCTTCTGCAGGACCCTAAGGCCCCAAGGGTGAGGGGAAGTACTACGGCTTCCTGGCAACCCACCCACCTCCTGGGCTCTCAGCCTCCTCCTGCCATTGGCCCGTGGGCCCCCAGAGGAGCAAGTGGAGAGAGGGGGAGGAAGGAGGCCGGAGGTGCAGCCAGGAACTGCCCAGGAGCAGGTTTGGCCCAGAGGAGGGTTGAGCCAGCCAGGTGCTCTGCACTGTGGGAGCTGGAGGCAGCTGGGCCGCAGAGCCTTGCCCCATGCCATAGCCTGCTGCCCCGCCCGCCCTGCCCTGCAAGGCCCCTTCCTGGACCTCTGAGGTGGGCAGGATGGAGGCTCCGTCTCTGGCCAGCAGCTCTGGGCCACATCTGGGAAGGAAGCAGGGGCCCTCCCACAGAAGGGCTTGTGCCCGCGGGGATCAGTGCCAACCCTGGGCAGCTGCGTGCCCCAGCGGTGCCCCTTGGAGGAGCGGCCTGCTGCCTGGGCCACTCATGCTCAGCCACCTCACCCCTCCTCGCAGCCCGCGGCATGAGCCCTGAGCTGTGAGTCCCATTACAGACTGCTGCGGAGGACAGCACTGCCGTTCACCTCGAAGGCCACAGCGAGGCGCAGGGGGCACGTGGAGGGCCACGCTGCCACTCGTCAGCACCCTGCAAAGGGCCCGGCCTCTGCCTGCGGGGGCACCATGGTAAGTGGCAGGGGTGGGTGGGAGGGAGTGGCTGTGGCTGGGACCTCAC